GGGGTCGAGCGATACGCGCGGGCAGGGGTGCGAATAGGTTTTTATATATCTACAGAAAATAAATTAATGGATCATATGGAATGCACTGTAATGCGAGGTGATACGAAGGTGTACTTGTTTTAGTAGTTTGGTTAAGTTAGTCTACGATAAATATATCTTATCTGATACGGTTGCATTGGAGTTTCGTGCACATTTCGATGTCGACTGCTCCAGTTTTCGACTTCCGCAACCATCCAAAAACATCCTTCCGTACAGCCAAAATTTCTATTAGATTTGACATCAAAGTACTGATAAGGTTTATATTCCCTTTTTTCAGTTTTTTTTGACGAAAAAATTGTGTTGGTAAAGTGTCAACGAAAGAACGAATGCAAAACGTTTTTTCTGACCCGGAGGGCTTCGCCCCGTCCACCTCGCGCAGTTAGCGTAGGTTACCTTTCAGCTTAACCACCTGAGAAGAGACTTATCACAAAAAGACTACATAATTACAAAATAAAGGTTATTGCAACATTTAAGTTGGATAATTTAGTTATTTTAGTAGAATGCGAAAGATAACGTCTACTATAATAAAGCTCGCTGTATCTTCACAACTATTTTAGTTACCATTCAAAATTTGTAGAGTTCAATTTAAAAAAAAATATTTAATAAATACTTCCTCTTAACATGTTTAAGTAGAATAAAACTAATTCCTCTTAATTTTCATTTGAAAATGAAAATTGTAGGCGCATATAAAGCTAATGACATTGATGGAAGTTAGTAATTATAGGCAACACACGTTGGAAGTTGTCATGTTAACATTATCTTTCAGAAATATGTTGCATTATATGTACTAAAAAGGTTCAGAAAAGAATTGGGACATGAGAGGCGTCACGTAACTGCATACTACTCTAAATATTCTTGTTTGAAAGTTTACCTGAAGTAGGAGATAATATTCTACCCGCTCTCTTCCGGAAAACTTATAAAGTTACTGGGCGTTCAGTCAATATTAAGTTTTGGAATGCGAAAATGTTTCAAAAGTAAAGCAGGGTGGGAGAAAACTTGAGAACGAGTTAACATGATTACTCTGTAGCATTACATTTGGTTAAGCCACAAAAGGATGTTAGGAATAGTTTTCAATTTTTTTCTTACGGCTTTTGGAACAACTTTCTTTCTTTCATAATGAAATAGCTTAAATTTATTATTGATTTATATGTATAAATTATAAATTTGTGAAAAGTTCACTCAGATACGATTAAGATTTATAATTTGTATATCACGTAAATCCGTTATTAACATTGCGTTCACGGTGTCTCCCAAGAGGTTTAATTTATCACTTCATTCTTCTAATAATGAGAATTTTTTGCATTTTAGTAATGTGAACTCTCTTCCTGTTGCATGATTCATGTTCTCATGCTTTACAAGGAAATTGATTTGCTGTCAAGTTTTTAACAAAATATTATAAATAAAAAAAAGAATTTTATGACAATTTTGCAAATCGTTAACAAAACTTTCCAATAAAATATTTAAGTTTCTTCCCACATCGTTTCATACCACTCCCTCACTGACTTCATTCTGCTTAAATATTAACGTTTTCAACTTATAAATTATGTTCTATCTCGAGCAAAAATTAAGTAATGTATTTTGAAGAAGAGCTTCACAGGAATAGGAAATAACTCATATGTTTTTCCGAGAAAATATTAGTTTTAAAATAACTTTTCATTTCTCCAATTTCGCTTGCATCGTATATAAAAGTCAAGTGACATTTATAAGCCACTACGTATCGTCCATTTTTATCCTAGAAATGCAATGTGCATTCGTATTCTTTTTTAATCAACTTCAAATTTGCAATAAAGATTCTAAAACAAATGTAGCTCAAAATTCGCTTTCCCTTTTTTGTAAATGGTACTTAAAATCACTCAATTCTGTATAGACTCAATTCAGAATAAAAAAAACAGTTCAAAACAAATTAAAATAGAAAAATCAATTCTGGACATTTTCGACATGGATCTATATTCTCTTTTAACTCAATGACATACAAACCACAATTTGACACTTATCTTTCACGCCTCTCTAAAACATAGTTCTTTCCAGCAACAGAAGATACCTTACATTCATAAGTTACTTAACTTCAGATGAATCAAGACATGTGATGTGCTTCAAGATTAATTTCGCAACATCACATATCCAAGTCCACTATTACCCTTCGCGTAAGAAGCCCCAATTGAGGAACTCGAAAATAAGAATCCCCTTCAACGGAATAGCTTAATGAACCGATACTAACTGGCATCTTGTCAAGATGCCAGTCTTCATAAGATACATGAAAAATAAAGTCAGATAAGACTAACCAAGATTGTTAGTTAACCAGTTGGGATATCATCCAAAGATGTGAGAGAAGAAATGGCTAATAAGCCAACAGCAGCTCTCGTGATTCGAACCAGTGAAGTCACAGCTAGGCCCCTCTCCATAGAGTAAAAGTGGAAACATTCACTATCAAGATATGGTAACAAAAGTAAAACCATACCGGTTCAATCAGGAGAATGTCGAAAATTAGCATTCAGGTGGCTATGAGCTACAAAATGTATTATTATTGACGGGGCAAACAGAGCTCAGAGAGTGCAGAGTGCCCGAAAACGACGGAAGAGGAGTACAGACAACAATAAAGATCATGAGGTGTTACTGGCAAGCCTCGCCGAAGAATATTCCAAAAGCAAATTTAAAATACTTTTAGACGTAAAAAATCCGCTGTCAGAAATAACAGAACAAATACCAACTGATCAGAGAAGAGTGACTCTGAGTAACAATCGTCTCACCATTTTTGAGATAAAAATTCGCCAGCGAATAACAATGTCAGTGCCCTGAAAACCGATTATGAACCAAAGCAGAGAGAAGACCGTCCATTTCCGAGAACATACAAGCAGCCCCTTTCCTCTCGATCTCACGCTGTTCTGGCCTAATTGCCCGGCCCTACCCTATCCCGCATCGCCTGCCTCCATTGGTTCCACGGCAACAATGACCCGTCTTGCACTCGCCCTCCCACGTTCGATCCACGTTGCACGGCTGGAAAATTACGGGCAGCTGCTCTACAATGCATACTCCTGGCAATCTTTCAGTAACAAGAATAAAATAATAATAATAATAATAATAATAATAATAATAATAATAATAATAATATCACATACTTTGATAACCGACTATCAAGGCAATTTGAAGATAGGTGATAATCTAAGTCTCAAAAATCCCGATTAGCCATGTAGGAGTTAGCCGTCAAACATCGTTACTTTCGTTTTCATTTATTTAAAAGATTGATGTCGCTCATAAGGAAAATGAGATCTCTATTGTGTTCACCATGGTAACAGAAGTATATAATTGAGGTAATTGAACGTTCATTCTCGTCCCTATCCATCTCACCTCGCATGGATCCGCACCGCCCCTTTCCTGTTTGCCGAACCGCCGCTACTGCACCTATCCTTCCCGCCTTTCCCCTCCTGCCCCTCCCTACCCCGCACCGACCAGGACCCAATCATTCCCTGCCCCATCATGCCTCGTCCAGACCTACCAATCCATCAATTGGCAAGCATACACCCCTAACGATTAACTTTGGAACAAACAAAAATTCAAATAGTTGCTGACGAAATTGAAGCACCTTAAAATTAATGTGAAATTCGTCAAAGTGAATATTTCAGTTGAAAATTCGCGCTCACAAACACAAGGATCGTTAAAAAACAGTGAGACAGCTGTGAAACGTAACCAAGCAATTGTTTCGGGTGGTGGCTCTGTTCATCATTCATGAAGTATTGAAAAATGATGATTACTCGGACATCTTTATGTTATACGGATATATATAAATCTTCTGGAGTGAGTGTTCAAAACTTTGGTGAAACTAATGAAATACACTCGATAATTTTCATGTTGTTTTGACGGTTCTCCGAATAAACGAACAAGAACTTTTTTTACAATTAGTATTAGACCATGAGCTGAAAAAAGGATCCTAAATTAAGCTTCAGATAGTACTGTACTTTTCCTAACAGACAATAATTGTTAAAACATCTGTATGATATTCATAACGTATAAATAACAATATATGCTTATATAAAAAGAGTTATTTTGAAATCACTTACTGATCTCTATTCTATTACTATGATCTGGCGTTTTTACGTTTCCTCGGGTAAATGTAGTATAGAGGTAAAAAAGTTATAAGACTAGCGTCGCACACTGGTATCAACTGACCAAAAACATTTCCGTAACTAGAAGCTCTGTATAAAAACCTGGAAAAAATTGTATATTCAGCTTTTGGGGGTCGCTGATTACGAATTTGATGTCAA